GAGGAGGTCAGAGAGGTAGTGGGGTGCAGAGGAGTGGAGGGATTTGAAGACGAGGGTGAGGGTCTTGAACTCGATCCTCTCTGGCAGCCAGTTCACTAGCAAGGACTGGGGTGATCGGGGAGCGGAGTTTGGTGCGGGTGAGAATGCGGGCGGCAGTGTTTTGTATGACCTGGATTTTATGGATGGTAATGGAGGGGAGACCGGCGAGTAGGGCATTTGAATAGACCAGCCAAGAGGTGACAAAGGCATGGACCAGGGTTTCAGCGACTTTTGGAGTGAGGTATTGGCAGAGACGGACGATGCATCAGAGGTGGAAGAAAGCGGTGCTGGTGAGGGACCAGATGTTGGGGAGGAAGGATAACTGGGGGTCGAACCTTACGCCTAGGTTGCGCCTAATCTGTACTGGTCGTTTATTTCTGCACTCTTTCATGTGGTAAGACCAGAAAGCATAAATGTGCAAACTTGTTTTGACATTAGATTTCATCAGATTTCTTGAAGAGTGTTTGATGGTTTTGAAAATGATTTTAAGGGATGAATTTAAGGGAAACTTTCCTAAACATGTCAAAAGAGCACCTGGTTTTTCAGAGATGAGTTGATCACAATAGGCCCTGAAATTCCAGGACCTAATGTCACTTTACAGTGGGGTATAGCATCAGTTTAGTGGTGCTCAAATAATTGGGAGAAGTAATACATCTTCCCTAGAAATTTACAGATTCCCAAGAAAGTGCACAACTAATCACAGCATTGCATGTGAGGGACACACTGACTGGCCAAGTAAACCAGATTAAATGAGTTCCCATCACCTGGCAGTCATGTAATGAAAAGGAGCTACAAAGGAGCTTGACAAGGGTAAGGCAGTGGATGTTGTGTACCTGGGTTTTGGTCAGGCCTTTGATACGGTTACACATGAAAAGACTGGTACTGAAAATCAAGAACGCAGGAATTGGAGGAAGCATCTTGCAATGGATACGTAATTGGCTGACCCATAGAACCCAGAAGGTGGTGGTAGAGGGAATGTCATCAGGTTGGGAGAATGTTACCAGTGTAGTTTCACAGAAGTCTGTTTTGGGACCTCTTTTATTTAAAACTTCATAAACAACCTGGAGCTAGGAGTCGCCAGCACAGTGGCTAAATTTGCAGATGACTGCAAAGATGAACAAGACAGGTTACAGGAGGACTTGAACATTCTTGGGAATTGGTCATATCGATGGCAGAAGAATTTAATGTAGAGAAATACAATTTGCTTCACATGGGGACAAAAAATCTAGAAAAGCACTATTATTTAAATGGTATGAAAATAATCTACAGAAAGTGAAAGGACCTGGGGATTCTGATTGATAGTAAATTTTAACTATCTCAACAGTGCTTGGTAGCAGTGAGTAAGGCAAACCAGATGCTAGGCTGTATTAAAAGGGCAATATTGAGCTGAAATAATGTGGTAATCCTTCCACTTTATAAATCACTGGTGCGACCGCACTTGGAATATTGTGTGCAGTTCTGGTCACAGCAATATAAAAAGAATATTGCAGCGATTGGGAGGATACAGAGGAGGGCAACCAAAATGATTGAGGGGATGGAGGGACTGGACTACGAGGAGTGATTAGATAAACTGGGCATGTTCACACTGGAGAAGAGAAGGTTGATAGGGTGATATGATTACGATCTTTAAGATTCTGAAGGGACTAGATAATGTAATAATAATAGTAATGATAATCCTTGCATTTGATACAGAGCTTTTAACGTCTTCTAGATGTCTCAAAGCACTTCACAGAATAGACTGTAAAGTGAATTGACTATATATTTGTAGGCGAAATGCGACAGCCAGTTGCGCACAGCAGTGTCCTATAAACAGTCGTGGATTGAAGTGACCAATTTTTTTTTTGAGGGATTATTATCAGGTGTGTGGAGTAAGGAAACTTGCCCAAGGTTTCATCCTGCCGGGAATCGAACCTGGGTCTCTTGCTTGCAAAGTGAGTGCGCTAACCACTGAGCTACAGGACTCCACTAGACCATGATGAGCTGTTATATCTTGAACTGAACAGTAGAACCAGAGGACACGGCCTGCGATTTAAATTGTAATTGAATTCTCAATTCAGAACAAATCTGCGGAAACACTACTTCAGTGAGTGAGTAGTAAAAGTAGTTCGATTCCCAGCAGGGTGAAACCTTGGGCAAATTTCCTTGCTCCACACGCCTGATAATAATCCCTCAAGAAAAAAAATAATAAATTGGTCACTTCAATCCACGATTGTTTGTGGGACATTGCTGAGTGCAATTGGCTGCCACGTTTTGTACACAAATATACAATCAATGCACTTTACAGCATATTCTATGAAGCGCTTTGAGACGTCTTGAAGACGTGAAAAGTACTATATCAATTGCAAGGATTATTATTATTACAAGATGGTTTGAAAAATTTACCCTTAGTTCATGGATTCAGTTTACCTTTATTAAACTTCAGACGACAACAATGATCTTCAAAGACACAGTTTTAGAAAATGCAATTAATATACACTCTTATACAATCATAGCTTATAGATAGAAAATAAAATATTGAACAAAGTCTCTTCTGCATAAGAAAGTACATTAAACATGAAAGATTATTGCAAAGCTAATAACAACAAAATTACATTTATGTAGCGCCTTTCACGTCGGGAGGACATCCCAAGGCGCTGGACACACAGAGTTTTGGACCCAAGCTGAGAGTCGGGAGGGGGGATGGCAGGGGGGGAAGCAGGGAGATCGAAAGCATGGTTGAAGAGGATGGTCTTGAGGCGGGTCTTGAAGGTGGCGAGGGAGGGGTCGAGATGGAGGGACTGCGGGATGGAGTTCCAGAGGGTGGGGTCAGAGTGGCGGAAGGCCCGCCCACCGTTAGTGGGGTGAGCAAGGCGGGTGACGTGAAGCAGGCCAGAGCCCACTGAGCGGAGGGAGTGAACAGGATGGTAGGGGGTTAGGAGGTTGGAGAGTTAGTGGGGAGCAAGACCGTGGAGGGCTTTGAAGGTGAGGACCAGGATCTTGAACTGTATCCTGTGTGATGGGAAGCCAGTGAAGTCGGGCAAGGATGGGGGTGATAGGGTTGCGGAGCCTGGTGCGGGAGAGGACACAGGCTGCAGAGTTCTGGATGATCTGCAGTCTGTGGAGGGAGGAGTTGGGGAGGCCGACAAGCAGTGAGTTTGCATAGTCAAGCCTTGATGTAATGAAAGCATGTATGAAGGTTTCGGCGGCCTGCAGTGTGAGACAGTGTCGGAGCCGGGCGACGTTGCGGAGGTGGGGGAAGGCAGAGCGGTCATGGCGCGAATGTGGGGTAGAAAGGATAGTTGAGGGTCAAACAAGACCCCAAGGTTCCGGACTGGCTTAGCAAGGTGGAGTGTGCAACCATGGATGGTGTTACTGTCAGCGCCTGACATTGACTCATTTAAAGTAAACTATAAATAATGCCAATAATATCCCAACCCCCGTATCTCTGGCAATTGTGAAGGCCAGAACCAAGTAGTGAGGTGGATTTATGATTAAACAGGGGAAGCAGCTGCAGGAAAGGAGGACTCTGGCCTTGACTGACTTGTTGCGGAGCACCCAGCGGGCTAAGGCAACTTTATTTTGAGCATATCTATTTTTCAAAGCCCATCACATAAGGGCATAAATTAGGTAGTTTGTTAATCTGGTTTGCCTCATTGCACAAGGATCTGTAAGACATCAAGGTGGCTGGAACATCACAAGTTGTCATGTATAGAAACTTCCACCACACTGGTAGATTTCTGTTGAAAAAAAGAAAACTGAAGCTTGGCATGACAGGTGTGGCCTGGAGTTGTGGTTTGTGAACACACGCTTTTCCTCTCTGCCTCGCCATTAGTGGCCAATACTTCAGCTTTTATGCCCCTGACCGCTAGAACTCCCTTTCCCTACCACTTTGTTTTACTTCCTCTTCTCATCTTTAATAATCTATTTTCCCGCCTCTCCCTTGCTCATGGTCCAATCCCTTATCCCCCCACCCTCGTCAATTATTCCAATGCCATCCTCTCTGAACTACCAATTACTTGGAGCAATCTAATGGCACACAATGATCATTATTTTTGCTGTTAATTAACACAAAGAATGCTTAATCAGTTGTATACTTACAACCCCTATAAATACAAATGCTTTTGCCGAAGCAAAGCCTGAAGTTGTTTCTGGGCAATTGTTCTTAGTATCTAGGAATTGAAAACATTGTGCTTCCTACATAGGAAACTTGCATTGATTTAGCCAAAGGAAACACTTTTTTTAGTTTGAGTGTTTATCTCATTACCATTGTGTTTGTGTTTATGTAAATGGCTGTACTTTGCAGAAAAAGTTCAGTTTGTGTAATTCACTGCTAGAAACCCTCTTGCTTGTGCACCATTTTCTGATTTGAGTTTAAATAAGTGATAGCAAATGCTACTTCTGTACATAAAAGCAATCTGATTGACATGCTTTTTGTTTCTTTACCCCCTCTCTGTGGAAGAGTGCCTCACCTTTGCTTGCTTCTTCCCTGATGACCTTGCTGATATTGGAGATTCCCCCTGAGGGAACATTGCAGAAGCGATATCCTATTACTCTGTTGCAGCTTGCAAAATATTTGAGTTAGACTAACTTTCTCCTAAGTAAAACATCTGAAGTTCCTATTTACATTATCGACACTATAGAAGCTTTTCTTAAATGTTTAGTTTGCTTTTAATGTCTCAATACACAGTTACTTAACTTGAAATCTTTTGGTAGTTTGGCATGTTTTTAGGAGCAGTCTGTTATCTGATCATAAAGTATATATCATGCTCAGAACATTAGGCTATTTTCTTTTAGCCATGAGACCTTCCAGAAAGTCATTTGAAGTATGCTACCATTTCACGATTTACACTTGTATTACATATACTGCTCATCACTGTGGTGCGTCAGTACAGTGACAATAAGGGTCTCTGATTTGGATGTGTTTCTGGTGGTCAGGAAAAAGACTTAAATCATTTCATAAAAAAACTTCCAAAGATACACAGTAGATTTCAAAACATTACTTTTATTATATATACAAAAAAGCTAAAAAATATAAATGTCCTTTTTAACATTGCACATTTCTGGAGAAAGGGTTTGATTATCTGAAAATTAGTTGCTGCAATGAAAACTTGGTTTTTTAAACTTGCACATATGTGTACAATTAATGCATAGAATCTTTCTGACAAATTAGTTACAATGATGCACAATAGTGGTAATCTCATTGTTGTTTTCTCTTTTCCACATTAAATTAGATTTATGTTAAGGCTAAAGGTGGAAACAGAGATTACATGATCAAAAAGGGAAGTGAGTTTCTCTTCTCTCCCCCGTGCTGTGGCAATTCTTTTCTCCAATGTAATTCATAAAACATTGGATTCTTTCCAAATTTTGTTTCTGGACTATCCACCCCTCCATAATCAATGACCAAAATCCCTCTAATACAGAAAATAGACTGCTCAGGTAGAAGCTTTGTTCTGTAACTAATTGTTAACAAACCACACAGTTATGATGCCCTGAAAGTTTGAATTGTATGTCTCAAAGTACAGTTGGATAACTAATACAGATGTCAAACAGAAGATTCTGATTGTGACATTTTGCCTTTTAACGTGCGTAAACCAGTGGTTAAAAACCTCTCTGTGTTCAAAGATTGCGAAAATTCAGAATCTGGCCTGAATGACATTGATTTTCTCTTGATCGAATTCTGAAATGTTTCTGAAGTGAAATAATAAACAATAGGATCAAAGCAGCAGTTTGAGACAGCAATACAAAGGGTGATTGGATACATAGTTTTAACTATTTTCACGACAGAGCAATTGCTTACTGATCCAGTTCTAACAAGTGAGTACACCACTAGAGTTGTATTGTATGGTACAAAGCAACAAATAAAAATGAGAAAATGTACAATCACCATTTTAAGAACTTTTTTCCTTTTAAATTTACCTCGACTGAGAGTGAACGGGTTCCTCAGTGTCTTTAGAACCATTGAAAAACAGGAAAGATTTAGAATTAGAGGAATAACAAATCCAACAATTTCAATGAATATCACAATTTTGGACAGATAGTTCTTCCAGGTCTTGTTTGAAAAATTTTCAAAACACGTTTTAGTTTTATTGTTTCGTGCAGAGGTGGTTTGGAAAAAGGTTGCGGGCACACTTCCTGCAAGAACAGTCAGCCAAACGGCAACACACACAATCTTGGCATTTCGTTTAGTTCTTAGAGTCCTTGACCTAAAAGGGTGAACTATTGCGAGGAAACGATCAACACTAATGCACGTCAGAAACAGAATACTTCCATACATATTGGTGAGAAACAGTGTACCTGAAATCTTGCATAGTACGTCTCCAAATGGCCAGTTTCTGGTAGCATAGTAGAAAATTCTGAGTGGTAATGTAAAAACAAACAGCAGGTCTGATATAGCTAGATTTGTCATGTATATTGTTGTTTCATTTCGCAATTTTAGTGAGAACACAAAAATGTACAAAGCAATGCAGTTTGATATAAGGCCGAGGAAAAATACCATGCTGAACACACAGCCATACAGTGTGTACTTAAAAGAGTCGTCAATATTGCATGTGGCGTTGTTGTAGCCTACCATTATGAATATTTCACCAACTTGAAATGACCAGTTCAGATGAACTTTCTGTAGAATACTTTTGCCTTGTCTTATAGTTACAGCTGAATTACATTGTGGCCGCCTTGAAAAACGTGTTGCGAAATTGCTGAATTTCTTTGCTGAATCTTCAAACGTAGCTGGAGTTGATTGCAGACAGACTATCAGTTAACCAGCAGCATTGTTTTCTTTGGAATGGCAGTAAGGTCATTTTATTCCTTTCTGCAGAAGAGTAAACATGATTTAACAATAAACAGACAGCTCAGGTTTTATAACTGTTTACACAAGAGAACAGTCTTGCTGACCCAGGGCGTGCAGCTTTTCCACAAGATATTTTTCAAACCATTCGTCATATGGGTCAAAGATAATCCAGCCTTCCAATCTCCATAGAGTTGCTTTAATGTTGTTAGTTCCGTGTACGAATGTTGAACTGAAGTTGGCAAAGGATATTCCTGGTTCTTTAGGCTTTTGTAGCAAAGATAGATCCTTGTAATCCCACTTTGTTGGCTCTTCAACTCCACAGTCCTACTACAAAAAGCAACTAATAGCAACAGGTTTAGGTGGTGTGTCCCAGCATAGTAAAACATATGTTCCTTAGCTGATTTTCTTCCCGGTTTTAGATATCATTCTGAGGCTTCTGCCTGAACAAAGTGTTAAGCACGCACGCAAAATGATGTCATAGGAGATGGACAGGAATTGGACAAAGAAGAATGGGTTCAGCCCTGTTTTTTTGCTGATAAGTGTGCATACCTTCCGGGTTTGTCAAATCTTGCACTCCATTAACTATTTATGTACTGAATAGTCTTTTCTACTAATGCTGCTTTTGTACTATGCATTCTGCAGTGGAGACTATGAAGCCAAAGTGGAAACTCTGGCTGTCCAGTGCCACTTCTTGTCCTGTACCTTTTCATATGGGTTTTCTGATAAGTGGGCACTCGGGTAGATAGTACAATTGCTAATAATATAATAATAATCCTTGCATTTGATAAGGTGCCTTATCATGGCTTCGAAACATCTCGAAGGGCTTCATAGCTTATACTGCAAAGTGAATTGACTATATATTTTGTGGGCGAAATGCAGCAGGCAATTTTGCACAGCAGTATCCCGCAAACAGTTGTGAATTAAGTGAGCAAATGATTTGATCAGTTAAAAAAAAGTTTTAAGGGATTAGCCCAGAAAAGCGATCCGCCAATCAACTAACAACTGGGTTCCTATTTACTGTTAGGTGAACAGAGGCGAGTGGAGTAAGGAAACTTGTCCAATATTTTGCCCTGCCCAGGAATTTCAAACCCAGGTTTCTCTTTTGTGAGGCAAGTGCTCTAACCATAAAACTAGAGGACTCCACACTAATGACAGTGGCATTGTTTATTTTCTTAGACTGCACAACTGAAATAAGTTTTTGAATATTGTGCAACCTTGCTTGAAGCCTCTTTCCTGGTTCTGCTACTATTATTTTAGTCATGACAATTGGGTAAATAAACTCGTTGTGGCACTTTTGTGATTCTGTGTAGAGTGTCGCCACACTCTTCACATCTGTGTTAACCCTTTTCATTCTAGAGAACAAGGCAACTCAATGTGGAGCCAATAGGAGAGCTAATTCTAAAAATAATCGGCTCTTCTGCCTGCAACACCTCTACCTTACACATCTCAAGCTTCACACCTCTAATCTCATCTCCCACTCAGGGCTCGAGGAGGGAATGGAGGGAGAGATGTGACCGAAGTTGACCTGCAACAATGCTTTTCCAGGACTTTGGCAAGGAAGGGCAGGTTGGAAATGGGACGGTAGTATGAGAGGTTAGAGGGAATGAGGTGGGTTTTTTGAGGAGGGGTATGATAACAGTGGTTTTCAGTGGGAGTGGAACAGAGCCTGAGGAGAGAATCTGGTTGACCATGTTGGCCAGCAGCGGGGAAGAGAAGAGGGAGTTAAATGACCAGCAGCTGGGTGGGCAGGGGGTTGATGCAGCAAGTGGTGAACTTCATGCGGGTGATTGGGTTGAGACGGTGGAGGGAGAAATGGGCAAAGGAGTGTAAGGAGTGGGGGAGAGGCAGGAACCGTGGCGAAGAGAGAAAGTGGTGTGGATGGTCTGGGTGGGGTGGAAGGGGGACATGGACCATCCGCCAGAGCTCATTAATATTGTACGATGTATCAAGGAACAGTCGCAGTGTATGAGAATTCTTTGAGAGAGAGAATGGAATGTTATAGTTTTCATGTGCAGGAACCCATTCATTTTGCAATAATAATATAATAATAATAATAATCCTTGCATTTGATGTAGCGTTTTTCACGTCTTTTAGACATCTCAAAGCACTTCACAGAATATACTGTAAAGTGAATCAACCATTTATTTGTGGGCGAAACGCGGCAGCCAATTGCACACAGCAGTGTCCCACAAACAGTCGTGGATTGAAGTTACCAATTTATTATTGTTTTGGAGGGAATATTATTATAATGTACAATTATTAATTGTATTAATATGATATAATATATAATATAAATAAAATTTTATAAAACACATTATTAATATAAAAATTCATACATTGAATTGGTAATCATTTAGTCCGATACATATTCCTCTAAGACCACTTTATTCTTCAGGGCTTTTGGGGTGCAGGGTTTGTTTTTATCCAATTTTGAGAAATTCTTCCTGGGCTGTGGTACCTGCACCTTTTTTGTTTAAAAATGGAATTAGATAAATGCTTGGGGAAAAAAATAATATTAAAGGGATCAAAGAGGAGAGTGAGATTGGATTAGGATATTTCATGTGGATATTTCATGTGGAAATGTCAATTCTTTCTTTACTGGACACTTAATTTTAATTTTCCACCATATTGAAATAAGATTGACATTAGCTTAGTTGCAAATGAATAGAAGTCATGTGGAGCAGCTGATAAATAGTGGTGGTTGAGCACGTTATTCTTGCTCATGTGAATTATTTCTACCTGCGACCATAGTTCAAATATTAATAAACAGTTTTTTTAAGCCAGGACTCAAAGTGTAATGTTTATTAATTTGTGTGTAACAAAATGTGTAGGTTTCTCACATATTTGAACAAGCTATCCTAATTCAAAAAGTATTCTACTATTTGTGAAACTCTGCCTTTTTGTGGTTTTGTTCCCTAAAAATACAATTCTACAATACAAATGCTGTAGCAAATGCATACTTCCAGCATAGAAATTTTATTGCATTGAAATTCTAATTTAAGCAAGAAGTAGTCATCTGGTTTGAATAAAATGAATGACTCATTACTGCATACCGTTTTCTTTAGTTCGGGACACCCTATAATAATGAACAATAAAAAGGTACAGAGTAGGTGTACTTAGATGTTACTGGGGATGAGGGTTTTCAGTTATCAAGAAAGACATCAAATTAGGGCTTTATACTAGAGTAATAGACTAACTCTCACTCCCAGTGTGAAGCCATACTTTTCTCCCAAATCAGCTTTTCAATCTTTTGCAACTTCTGTTTCTCTTCAACATTTCCCAGTTGATCCCATACATGATCTCATCCCCTACAGTTTGGACTGTCTTTGTGCATCTGCTCTCTGACAACACAGACTGGTTCTGAACCAGGTCTCTGTTTACCTAGACTCGAGATACTGGAAACGCTCTGGGATGCTACACTGTGTGAGGGGCACTATATAAATGCAAGTTGTTGTTCGAAAAAGATGCAGTCTCTATATGTCATAAGGCATATATTACTATGGAACCCAACTGTTTGGTACAAAAATTGCTTTGAGAATTACTCCTAAAAGGTTTTATAAATGCTTCAGCTGCAACTGTTTACATCTCTGCACACCAATCAAAGTAGAAACTATCCCTGGATGTATCAGTGTGTGTTCACAAACTCAGACTCCAGGTAATGCCTTCCAGTAGTCATTGTCTGAAATCTCACAGTTTCCTCATCAGCTTTTCAACGGATATCTGTCGCCAGCATGATTTGAAGACGTATACAGGGCAACTTGTGATCTGTCAGCCACCTTGATCTTCTCAAGCAGGGTTGTCAAATGTCCAGCCCACAACTCAGGTCTTTCTGGCCCACAGCCCAACGTCATGTTAGTATAGCCTTGGAATAATAATCATCCTTGCATTTGATATCGCACGTTATCATCTTGTCGAGATGTCTTAAAGCGCTTCACAGAATATACTGTAAAGTGAATTGACTGTATATTTTTGTGGGTGAAACATAACAGCCAATTCCACACAGAGGTGTCCCACAAACAGTTGTGGATTGAGTGATCAAATTATTTTTTTTTGGAGGGATTAGTACCTCCAGAAAAGCAATCTACCTATTGACTAACAACCAGGTTCCTACTTACTGCTAGGTAAACAGAGACGTGTGTGTGCAGTAAGGAGTCTTGCCTGATAGTATAGCCTCGGAATACTTCAGGTTTGTTTGCTCTATAGCCCAAGCATGATAAGTAAAAAAAAACCTGCCAGCCGAGAGGAAACAAGAGGACAGTGAGCTAAAGAAAGAGGAACAGAAAGTAAGAAAGGAATAAAGACAAGAAACTGACTCCGCATAAGACCCAGAAATGGCAACTCAATGGTTTGCAATCTGACTGGTGCTCTGTTTTAATATTTAATAATAATAATAATCCTTGCATTTGATATAGCGCTTTTCACGTCGGGAGGACGTCCCAAAACGCTTCACAGAACACACTAAAGTGAATTGACTGTATATTTGTGGGCGAACGCGGCAGCCAATTGCACACAGCAATGTCCCACAAACAGTCGTAGATTGAAAATGACCAATTTATTATTGTTTTTGGTTTTGGAGGGATTATTATTAGGCTCTGTGTGGAGTAAGGAAACTTGCCCAAGGTTTCGCCCTCTGCCTGGAATTGAACTCAGGTCTCTCGCTTGCAAAGCGAGTGCTCTAACCACTGAGCTACAGGACTCCACAAAAACCTACTTGGAACATAAATGCTGCTGTAATGTGCACTTCAATGTTTAATATCCAAAATGTCCACACCTGAGGAATCCAGCAGCAAGCCTTCCCAACTGTTACTCCTGACTTTGAAAGTACACCAAAGGCAGAACTCTCACCTGGAAATCTGTGCATTTTTCAGAGGAAGTGATGGCAGTGGTAATTTTTCAGGGAATGTGATGTCAGAAACTACCTTTTTTAAAAATAGAAAACCAGACTACTTGGGACCGATGGCTGCTGCTTAGCTGCCCTGAAGTTGAGAATATGTTTGATATCTCCTATGCTAAAGTTCTAAATGCTGTATTCCATGTTTACGCAACACCACCTGCCTGTTAAGGTCTTCATCTGAGGGGCATAGGCAAAATGATGTGAAGCTAGCTCCAGTGCTGTGTGACAGATCAGTGTGAGCCGAACTCCTCCCTCGCCACAATCGCTTCGTTTTACATAAATCCGCTTCACAGCTTGGTCCTGGACTTTGCAAATAGGCCAAATAAAACCTCTGTTATATGCCCAGGAGCTCAGAGCAATGAAAGATGGTTGGAACACGTCTTATATGCCACAAGCTTAACCCACATTGGGATTTTGCTGTCATTGAAGAGTCCGCTCTTTTTCGTGCAGCACTGAAGAATAGTGCCCAAAATATCAACCTTGACCACCCCCCCACCCTGAAATCAACACAGTGGAGAAAGAAAAATGTCTTCTATTCTTCTGTTATAGCTTCTTATTTTGTGCTTTTGCAGTACCATTGT